GAGACTGTTCTTCCAAATTCATTCTGATTAACATGAAACCCAACACCAACGATTTACATAAGGCATAATATAACACACGGGGCAAGTCATGCCCGAACTGGTGAGCGAAGTGCAAAATCTCAACTCGACCGGTCGGGCCGTTACACCAAGTGTGTTACCTCGGGGTGCCCCATTCTTAATTGTCAAAAAGAAGGATGGATCACTCCGATGTGCATCGATTATCGTTAGTTGAACAAAGCCACTATCAAGAATAAATATCCTCTACCTAGAATTGACGACTTATTTGACCAGCTTCAAGGAGCGAAATATTTTTTAAAAATAGATTTGAGGTCAGGATACCATCAGCTTAGGATCAAGGAAGAGGATATTCCAAAAATGGCCTTCAGAACTCGTTACGGGCATTATGAATTTTTAGTAATGTCTTTTGGGTGGACTAATGCTCCAGCTGCATTCATGGACCTCATGAATTGGTTATTCAAGCAATTTGGACACTTTTATTATCGTGTTCATAGATGGTATTTTGGTGTACTCCCGAAGCAGGAAAGAGCATGCAGGACATCTCAGAACAACTTTACTGATTTTGAAGGATAATGAGTTGTATGCCAAATTTTCTAAGTGTGATTTTTGGTTGCAATCCGTTGCATTCCTAGGCCATGTGGTATCTAGTGAAGGGTTAACAGATGATCCTCAGAAGATAGAAGCGGTCAAGATTTGGCCAAGGCCGACGATACCGACAAAGATTAGGAGTTTCTTGGGGTTAGCTAGTTACTATAGAAAGTTTGATTGACTAAACTGACTCAAAAAGCTGTCAAGTTTCAGTGGTCTGATGCCTGTGAGCAAAGTTTTAAAATTAAATAAGAGGTTGACTACTACACCAGTTTTAGAATTACCGTAGGTCTCGGGCGGCTACACGGTATATTGTGATGCTTCCAGAGTTGGACTCGGTTGTGTCCTAATGCAAAATGGGAAGGTCATCCCTTATTCATCGAGACAATTAAAAAATCATGAGAAGAATTACCCTACCCATGATCTGGAATTTGCAACAGTTGTTTTTGCCTTGAAGATATGGCGACATTACCTTTACGGTGAGCATTGTGAAGTATTCACAGATCATAAGAGCCTCTAGTATATTTTCAAGCAAAAAGAGTTAAATTTGAGAAAAATAAGGTAATTGGAGTCATTGAAGGACAATGACATAAATATCTTATACCACCCTGAACAGGCTAATGTAGTAGTCGATGCTCTTAACCGCAAGTCTATGGGGTATTTTAACACAATTACTTAGAGGAGAGGCCATTGGCAGAAGAAGTGCAGAAATTGTCCAACAATGAGAGAATCAGACTTGACAAGACTAAAAGGGTAACTTGACTGTGTTCCATAAGGCTCAATCATCCTTGGTGGTTGAGATAAAAAGCGGACAATCTCACTAGTGGGCTGGGTTGTAACAAGGACTCCTTGCCTGCCGAGTATTTCTTTCTACCCGGTTAGGAGTTGACTCATTCCCATCGAGACATATTTCAGTGGTTGAACCATCCTATTGATCTCCATTATAGAGATTGTCCATGGGCTCGTCGTTATTGTTTGTTTCAACATTGAGCGAGTTGTTGACATCATTGGGTGTCATATCTATTTTACGCTTACATCAGGAAAACTTCAAAGTACGTTAATAAAAGATGAACAGATCAAAATAACATCACAATTGTCTATGCTTCACGGTGGGCGCTAAATTATTTACCCGTAAAACGGTACCGTTAAATTTATACGTGATTTACAGACACATGAATTAAATTAACCCGATAAAGTAAAATAATAAAGTGCAAAATATAGTAAATAAGTATAATTGAGAAGAGATAAGCCTGAGCTTCAGAATGTTCCCACTAGAATTAAGAATAATTGGAAAATCTCGATCACACTTGTATAAATCTTAAAAGAATGAGAGAAAGAATACTAGTCTTTTGCTATTAGTATTTTTTGATGACTTATAATAGAATGAAAGCCTCTATTTGTACTAGAGTTATGAGGTAAATAATTTACAAATCATGCCCCCTTAATTACTAATATTAATGTTGCAATAAAAAATAATTAAAAGTTAATAAAGTCTAATAAAGGCTAACAAAGACTAATAACGGTTGGATGGATCTTGGAGTCTTCTGTAACGTTTCAGCAGCGGTCATATTTTAATTGCTTCTTATCCGGCCACAAGTTTATATCCGACATCAACATAGTTGAATCATTGTTGTCTGGTCATTCTTGACATATGTTGCTTATTCCTAATTCACCCAACTCTTGTGACCCATTTTCAATGTATACACTACATCATTGAGATAGCCGAGAAAATCTAATGACTAGATAAAATAACCTATCTTGATCCTAAGATCATGGTTATGGTACTCAAATTAGGAGGAATTTGTCCCCCAAATTCCGGATAACCAAGTATTATAATTAGAAAAAGTAAAACGTTCTAAGCACATTACTTGCAGTTTTTAAATATTCCGATTTCAGTCCACAAATTTAATTTAATATTTTTATGGGATAATTTCACATAAATACATCTCACACACCTGCATTGCAACATAATAGCCTAGATACCACTTTGCAAATCTATAGCCCAAAAATAATAGGTTAATTCTTGAAAAATAGCTTATTTCACTCAATCAACTACGATTATTGTTCCCTCTTTATACAACCAGTTATTTTTATTCTGTTGATTTTCTTTCATTATTAAGCATTTGATAAAAAAATACAAATCAGCCACAACGCAATTCAAAAATCCTGAATTATACATATTATCTGAAGGCAAGAAATTCATACACTTTTATATGCAATTGCTAAAGCAATCCAATAGGATAAAAGAAAAATTAAAACTCAGTAAATGAATTGTAGAATCTCTCCAACGCGTACAAGATCGTTTTCATACAGCACATACACAAAAAAGAAAAAGAGAAAAAGTGCCAAACTTCCATAGAGGCCCTTATACACTGACAATGTATATATATCCTTATAAATTGAAAAAATATATAATTATACAATATTATACACAAATATACACATTTGTACACAATTATACATAATTATACAATACTGTATAAGTGTATATAAATATCACACATACAATATTTTCACTGGAAAACATAGTATGTCCAACACTACACTTACTGTAAATAATGTATCAACTTGTATAAACATGCATAACAGTGTATAAGAGGTGTTTGTATATCCATATACATAATTATACACTATTATACAATGTTGATACAAACTGCTACATAGTTATGATTTTTTATCCAAGCTTCGAGTTGTAGTAGAAGGTATTGGATGATTCAACTCCTCAATAGGTTAACAATTTTGCATCAACAATCGGAATTCAACAACCATACAAGATATACCCAATTTTAGATTCGAGACTTCAAGGTCATAACAATGATGACCAGAGTTTCAAACTTCAAAATCTTCCAAAATTAGTGATTATTTTTTGGTGCAAATCAAGTTTGAGAGCTATTTATTTTTAGATCTGTGTGTATTTTCATTTTTCTTTTAAAATCTTCAATATTCTTCTGCTTGCCACCATCAGACTTGATGGGCTTGGACGACGGAGGAGGAGCCTGAGCCTTCTTTGAGCCATTGATGGCAGTAACTCCATAGGGGTTAGGGGGACGGAGAATAGCGGGGGCTTGGTTAAGAGAGGATGAGGGGAAAGAAAGAAGCGAGAGGCGGTGGGAAGAGAATTTGGTGTGCTGGGAATGAAGAAGGAAGAAAATAATAAAAACCCTAGAAGTGTGTCTTTAATAATGGGCTAAAAACTGAAAAGTTTCTTTGAAGTTATGTACAATATGGGCTAAACCAGGTAAGAACTTCAAATCTGTGTCATTTTCGATTGAGCTATTAGGCCAAGTGACAAGGGCTATAATTCCTTCTATTTTTATTTTAAATAGAAATAGAAAAAAACTATTCCTATATTAATTTTAACTAAGAATCCTATTTAGACATGAAATAAATAAATTGGCAAATATCAAATCCTAAACAAGTAGGTTTTCTATTACAATTTTGAATTAGTTTTCTGACACTGCTTCTACTCAAAACACTTTTTTCCTTCTAAAAGATTGGCCAAACATCTTAACTTTAGAAAAATAATATTTTTCGCCAAAAATAGAAATACTTTTGGCAAAAAAAAAAAAAAAAAAAAAAAAAAAAGTAGCACTTTTGACCAAAANAAAAAAAAAAAAAAAAAAAAAAAAAACTTGACCGAACGGGCTATTAGTCATTTTGATAGGAAATTGTAGGAAATATATATATCTAAAAATTGTATAATGTTCAAAGGAAAAAAATGTAGAAAGATCCATTTAACTATTAAACATAATAATATATGCTCATACAAAATAATACCCTGTCATCAAATTTTTAATTATTAACAACCTAACATATTATTCAAGTCAAAAGTCTAATATTCGAAAAATACTCGGGGGCGACATATAGTTTGGACAACCCAAGGAGTAAAATGTGCACGAGATATTCTTGTCATCCCTTGATAGCAACTTTGAATCACTAATTGTAGGAATATGGAATTTATATCCTTTTAATAAGAGATCATGAGTTTACGTCATGAAATAAATAAAAAAAAATAAAGTTTTCTCTCTTTGGATGAATTAGTCCAACGTGAATCTAAATTAATTAAGCCAGTACCCTTATTATTGTACTATTTGTTTTATCTTCTATGATGATGATTGATGATTGCTGAGTGATGAGCTATGAGTTTTTTTATTTTTTAAATTTCTTGTCCCTTTGATTTCCTTTTGATCCTCTTTATTGGAGCTATTGATGATTCGAACCCACGGCCTGGAATTGTAGGGGAAAGTGTTTGACCATCTCAGCAATCCTTGGTGTCTGATGAGTTATGATTCAATTCCCATCTCTTGCATTTCCACTCTATGGTCTCTGCCTCGTCAGGTAGCCCAAAGTCCTTCCAACCATATACACTAATATTGAATGGAACAGTATAAAGATTGGGAAAAGAAAGAAAACAACGTTAAATATCAAACTTTACAAACTCCCAACAGCAAATTAAGTACTAAAACCAAGATTGGCTATAGCTAGCTAGTTGGGTTGTTATTTCTTGTGGATAGGTACAACTATATGAAAGTTACAGATTATGTTCATAGAACATGAATCACAAGCATCTATATAGCCATAAATTAAAGATATAGAACTGCGGCTTCAATTATATAGCTAATTCCTCCCAGGTTTCTGGAGTTGGATATTCATTTAAGTCTGGCCTCATTGATAACCAGTTGGACTCAGTAGAATTGGTTGCAGTTTGCAAATTAGCATCCACTTTGGCACCAACTTGAGTAGCTTTCTTGCGAATATCAGAAGCAGAGAGTTGGTTGTGAAGTTGATGATTTTCATTATTAACAATGAATTGTGGGAAGTTGAGTTTAGCAGAAGGGCCTCTCAAGTGAAAAACAGCAGTGTCATAGGCACGAGCAGCTGCTACTGGAGAAGAGTAAGAACCTAGCCAAATTCTTGTCCTTTTATTTGGTTCTCTTATTTCTGCCACCCACTTTCCCCATTTCCTCTTACGAATTCCTCTATATGGCTTCTCTTGTTGGCTATTTTGCCTTTTCTCTATTCTTGAACAACATGACCCTCCTTCCATCTTCCAACCAAAAAAAAAAGGAATAAGAAAGAATAGGACTAGGGAGAAATTAAAGAAAGATGAAATTTATATGGAGGTGGTGGGAATGTATAGAGACACCGAAGCAGCTGTGGGTATATATAGCGTTCTCAATTCGTACTTTTAAAAAAAAAATATTGAATCACATTAAAAATATACACAAACCATAGATTTTGTTGATTAATATTGTTATTTAAAAAGTATGAACAAATCGAAGTAAAAGAAAAACTAGCCCACTTCTTAAATAATACTACTATCATACAGTAATATGGAATTAAAAAAGAATACGCGTGTATACACAGTAACAAGAACTGCCAAGAAATATGATGGGACGGAGTATAATTGAACCAAGAAATATTATTTCTTTCTTTTGTTTTAATTTTCTTATCATCTTATTTTACTGTTGTTATTATTTTTATTATTTTTTCTTAAGTTGATGGTCTATCAAAAATAATATTTTTACTTTTATAAATAGTTTCCACACATCCTATTTTCTCTAAACAATATTTATAAAATTACGTCGAATTTGTTATTATTGTTGGAGGGCAATCCTTTCCCTAAACCAAATGTTAGGTTCTATATTGTTGTCCTGCGTTCTCTGCTTTTGAAACACAACTAAAGTAGTAAGTGTGTGGGGAATAAGATCTACCGTGCACATTTGTCTAAATGATCAAGATGACGATGACTAGTTTGTTGCCAAGTGGAGGGGATATTTAGGTGGGACGATTAATTAATAATTAAATCGTAAACATCTTAATTTAATTTGACTTATGGAAATGAAAAACAATTAGCTGGTCGGTGACTCGGTGGTGCATGAATTAGCTACTTGGGTGTCGAGAGTGACTTGTGGTCCAATTAAACAAGAGGGAGATAGTGATTCATCAATCACTTCCTTTGTTTTGTTCAAGTTTTAATTTCCACTTTCTTTCTTCTCGTTGTGATTATAATATATTGACATCTGATTTAGTATTGTTTTGACCAAAAAGTATTGAGCCTTTTGTTAAATTAATTATAATTAAATAAGAAGATTTTGGGTAAATCCTGACCAGAGATAATTTATCTTAGATCTAAGATAGAAGATTTGACTAAGCAAACAAAGCAAGCATAAGATTTAATTGTAATATTGATTAAATCTCATTATATAAGAAGAGAATGGAGATTTTCAGAACATTAAACAACAATGAAGAATATATGGATAAAAAGGGTCACCGATCTTTAACAAGGTAGAACCCCATACATTTAATGTGATGAGACTAACGATATATATTGAGGATCTGAGCTTCCTTGCTTCTTTCTCCTTCACGGAGAGAGAGAGAGAGATGAAGATCCCTCCTCCTCTAGGAGAACATGTCTGTGTATGTATTTGTTTCAGCCCCCTTTCTTCTTCTTCTCACTTAGTTTATATACAAGGTCTTCTCCCTTACCCAACGGTCATTAACCATAGTACTTAAGTCGTTTGACTATATTACGGGCTGACCCCTGAAATACAGTAACATCAAATTCGCCTCTCAGGCGTTCTGAATACATGACCTCGGCTATGGCCGAGGTGCGTGTCATTACAGCGAGGTATGGATACGACAGTCTCAAGTAACTTTTCATCGTCTCTTCCAACGCCGATTCTTGTCTGGTCAGATTTTGACCCATACAGTTAGTCCCTCCGCCCGTTGGGGTGGTTTCTTGGCGAGCTCGATGGGCGGACTCTATTGATTCAAAAATTGGGATAAATCTGAACGCTTTATGCGAGAGGTGAGCACCTCATGGCGAGGTAGCGACGTGACGTTTCGAGAGCTGCGACAGACCGTCACGTCAGTTCAGAATGTCATTAATACTTCTCATGCGTCATTATGGCACACGTTTTCTATGCATTGTGTCATTTCCCCTGCCATTCTAAATGGCGGCATTTGATTTTACCGCACAGGGCATTTATATCTTTATAAATAGGGGAGAATCTTTCATTTGAATGTTACGCTTTTTAATCGCTCAAGAGAGATTTTTTGCAACTCTTCTTCTTCTCCTTCAGTTTCTCATATTTCTGCTTCTGTTAGGATTTGTTGTGACCACTACCTTTTTCCCTTATCATTCTCGTTTCTTTTAATCAAAGAAAAGATGGTTAATGCTTCTTCCAACTCTGATAGAGTTGTCGGTGCTCCGGTGCCGAAAAATGATATACCCCTAATCAAAAAGGGAGTGGAGATAGCGGAGGACGAGGGTTTTCCGACAGTAGATGAGGTGGTTCCCTGCCCAAGGAAGGCGAGGACCGACTTCAATAGCCCTACTGGAGATGAGCCAAAACCTATTTTTTCTAGGATGGATGCTGCAGTGCTCACAACATTCAAAGCCAAATGGGGGATCCCTGATCACATTGAACTGGTTTCGGCGGATCAGGACATAGTGCATATACACCATCCGGGCTACTGTGAGTTTTATACGTATCCCTTTGTCATCGGGTACACGCTTCCCCTTCCTTCCTTGGTGGTGGATTTTGGCCGCTTCTATGAGGTGTGTCCGGCTTAACTCTCTCCATACGCATACAAGCTTTTCCTCATGCTCATCAAGTACGCGGAGCTGGCTGACCGAGGAATCTCTCTACAACACATGCTTTACCTATTCGCCCCCCATTTTTTTAGGGGTACGATGATTCACATGCGTCACCGAGGAGCCAAGAGTTTGGTGGTGAAGATGGATGACAAGGAAAATCACCACTTTTGGGAGAGCTTCTTCTATGTCCAAACAAAGCACGTCGTATCGAACCCGGCGGGGTTTCCTGAGACGTGGAATTTCGCCTGTAGGTCTTCTTTTCTTTTTTACTTTATGCAATTTTTCTTAAGATAGTTGTCGGTCGTCTCCCTTTAATAACCTCGTTGAGGGTTTGTTTTGGATTTAGTAACCGAGAGAGCACCTCCTCCGCTAGTTGTTGATATTCGTGAGTGGGTGAGCGTGATTCTCCCCCATACGATGGGGATTCGCGAATGGGCGCCTTTCCATGAGAATTTTGGGCGCAAGCCTCTTGTGGGTGAGTCGGCTCATCGTGGTTTGTTGCTTTGTTCTTTGCTTCGTAGTTCCTTTTGCCTTATCTTTGTTTGGTCGAATCTCCTCTCATTGGCAGGTCAGAGAGGAGTGAGAAGGGTGAGAGCTCATGCGCTTGCTTTTTGCCAACCGGCTCCCTCTGCCCGACCCGTTCCAAGGGCAATTGCGGGTGAGGGCACCCAAAGTTTGGTTGCTCGGCAGACCACGTCAGCGATTGGACTTGTTCGTTTGGAGGTTGCTCTCCGATCAGACACTACGAATCTTCTCGCAACAGTGGCGAAGAGGCGACGTCAAAGAGGCGGAGGTTGTCAGAGGGGGCATATTTGGTTGAGACGTCCTCGAGGGGCGACCCTATTTAGCGGTATCTAAAGCTGGGGGTAACACCGGCCTGGGTGCGGAGGCGACGCCTATTTTGATCATGGAAGAGACCACCGTGGAAGGGGGACAGAGTTCGGGGGCTGCCGCGATTGTTCCGAGCAATCCATCGTCATCTTGGTAGGGTCGCGCCCCCTCTTCGGCTAATGAGAGGTTGGAGGGTGTGGTGGTGCATGATTACGAATCTGATTCCGAAGTCGATCCTAAGGGCATGAGGATGTTCGAGGAAGGCTTTACCAGGGTCGATGTGCGGGCGGAAGGTCCTTCTCGTGTGCTCGAGATTCCATCTGATTTTAACCTGTTGGAGGACACGGTGGAGTTGGTACCTCAATTTGACCTTCTGTGTTCTGCCGCTGAAAGTGAGTCTCTTCGGGAGATCAATGATTCCACTTTGTCACGTGGTGTGGCCGGGATGGCCTTGAAGGTGAGTTTCCTTTCGCCCTTTTCTTTGTTTTGTGCTATTTTGCTTTTGCTGATTCCTTCCCTCCTATTTTTAAGACTTACATGCTGGATATCAAGAGTGCTTGTAGGGCTGAGACTAGGGCCGGAGTCTTTCTAAAAATGGCCGCGAAGTATCGTTGGTATCACAACAAGTGCCGTGAGATGCACGCGCAGCTTAGGGCGGGCGGTAGTGCTCAATCCGTTAGGGAGGAGTTGAAGAAAATGGGCCGAGGAATTGATGTGGTGTATCAGTAGATGCAGTGAGCTCGAGGAGTTACCCAATGCCAAAGACGAGGAGCTCGATGTGGGCAAAGGGGTTGCGGTGGAGTACGAAGACCTTTAGGCGACGGTGTTGTCCTTACGAGCCGAGCTTGGACAAAATGCCACCAGAGTCGCTGACCTAAGCGTGAAATGGACGGAGAAAGTGGCTGAGCTAGAAAAGAAGGTGGCCGAGTTGGAGAGAGCCGAGGGGGCTCGAGTATCGGCTTTGGCGAGGGCGACGCCGTTGGAAGACACTATCTATGTCCTTAGGTCTGAGCTGGAAGTCGAGAAGGCGACGACCACACTAAGGGAGGCACAGCTCGAGGAGCAGATCGGTGAACTTGATCGGGATGCTTTGAGCCTAGGAGATCGAGTTACGACCCTCGAGGCTAAGAAGGCGCAGTTGTTGGCTCAGACCCGCCCTCAAGAATTTGCCTCTACTGCAATCCCCCGCTGCTTGTATGAGCTATGGGTCATGCCGAGGCCCAACGAGATATATATAAGGGCTTGTAGGAGGCGGGGAGCATTCCTGAGGCCGCTTTTGAAGATGCTCGGGCGAAGGCACGCGAGGCTCGTCTTGCCTGCAGTTATGACCCTGCTATACCGGAGGCCAGTGAGGGTGCTGAGATTGAAGATGGTATTCCTTCTAATGACGACAATGCTGGGGAGAACGGCGGTGGAGATGATGCCGAATGAATTTTTTTTGCAACTTTTGTACTTAGTTTTTTTTTTTGTTCTTTTGTTGTTTGTTTTCATCTTTTTCTCGGGGGCCCGTTTTTGGCCTTTCGTAAGGCGCAGCTGTTACGCATGTACATCTTCTGAATAAAATAGTCGATTTGCCTTTGGTTACATATCTTTTGACTTTCTTTCTCTTCTCTTATTTGAAAAAAATCTTCAGATTTCCTCGTGATGAGTCCCTAATTTTTAATTGGGAATTCGAATGAGGTCGAATTTAGTTCACCTGATCCGAGTGAGATCGGATCTCGTT